GAAAGGATGCACTTGTTCTAAAGAGATTTAAAAGAAGAGTACTAAAATGTATTCCTAAGAAAAAGATGAACTATTTTGAAGTTTGGGTTCATCTGAGGCTGCGCTAAGTTGGAAGAGGGGAGGAAATAAGATTTGAGGTTTGGAGCTGGTGAAACCAGAAACCAGCAGGTTTGTGGTTGGCAGTGAACCTGGTGCCTCAGGGTTGCCTTTGCATTATTTGTTCTGAATATGTGGCTGTGGATTGCTGCACCACACCTGAGCTAGAGCTCAGGTATCCAGATTTTATTTCACTGGCACACAGTTTCTAGCAGGACCACATAACTGTTTGTTTGAGTGCTGAATCATCACAAACAGTGTTTACATAACACTGGCTGACGAAGCATTGTATAATGATTGTTAAGGTCCTAAATCCAAACTGCTTCAGTTTTAGAATTGTCCTGGATTACCGGTGTATAAAACATTGTAACGAAAGCTGCAAATGTGCCGTAGTAGAAAACAGACTGAAGAGGACAACAGGGAAAACTACTCTCATCTCACCATCCTTGGCAGCAAGAAGGCCCAAATATGATTTTAATGATGCTTCTCTGAAGTCCTGGCACTCAGTTTCCTTTGCTTCCCAAACTTTTCTTTACTTTACATTTGATACTTTACATTCATATTTATAATTAAAACTGAAGAATTCTTAGAATCTGAACATTTATGCTACAATTTTTTACAATTAAGCCTAATGTAGTATTTTTCAAATGTAGAAATGGACTGTATCTTATGCTTCATTTCAGTCTTTTTTTAACCTTAACTAAGGTTTTTAACCATAACAACCATAACTTAACATTCATTCATGTGTCATTTGCAATGAGCAGATAAACTTTATTGTCATCTCTGCTACATACAGTACAGTAGAGAGACGAGACGACGAGGCTCCAGTTCCATTCAGTGCAAAAAAACAACAATATATGTAGGAAGAGTAAGACTAAATATACGCTTAGAGACTGAGGTGAGGGGAGTAAATATACACTTTGAGGTAAAACTGTTAAAGGATAACTTAGGTACTGAAATTATGTGATATGGCATCCATCCATCCTTCTGCTTGTCCAGTTCAGGATCATGAGTGGGCTGGACCCTATCCCAGCTGTCTCAGGTTGAGAGGCAGGACCCTGGACAGGTCGCTCATCTGGTGCAAACTTTGTGTGGATGTGCCATCCTGGAGGAGCTGTGCTACTTGTGCAGCCTGAATGGGCTGTAGGTACGGTCTCATCCTACCAGCACTAGCAAAAAGCAAAACTAGAGAAAAGTCCATCAGGACAGATTATAAGAGAGAGCAATGGTGTGCGTTCACCACCTGCAAATTTATTCTCTTTTGGGGAGTGGTCTTGCTGTTGCTTCACCAGTGCACCTATTGTCATTTTGTCCTATTGATGTTTGTACCAAAGTACCTGAAATTGATTCACTGTGGTTTATGCTTCAAATTGAACAGACTGATACCCTTGAAGTCGAACTGACTCTCTGTTATACCGTGACTATAAATTTTCCCTTCATTTTTTGAGCAATGTAAATAGACAAACATCTGTTTTAGTTACGGTCATCAATGTTTCTTTACCAGGCTTATTTCTCAATCACTGAGTCTGTCTCCCAGTTGCTTGACTGGTTTTATTGGGTGTAGCTAAGTAGCATACATCAAGCTGTATGTCAAGAGTGAAAAAGACATCGATTCACTGATCCACACCACCATAAAATGCAGCAATGACATTGGAATGTCATTCGCATTGGAAGAGTAAAGTCGGATGGTAACAAAGAGAGGGAAGGCAGTCAGAACTGAGGCGATCGAATTAGCAGAAGGCAACATTGCAGACATCGAGGATAGCTACAGGTACCTAGGGCAAATGGGAACCACGAAGATAGCGCTAGGAAAGCTGCAACCACCAAGCATCTGCAGACGGACAGGAGGGTCCTGAGGGGTCAACTGAACGGTGAGAACAAGATCCGGGCTATCAAGACCTACACCCTGCCCGTGATCAGGTACCCTCGCTGGGATAATGGGCTGACCAAAGGAAGAGATTAAGGCCACTGACATCAAGGTGAGGAGGCTCCTGACCATGCATGGAGGGTTTCACCCCAAGTCAAGCATCCTGAGACTGTATGCTAGGTCTGGGGAAGGTGGCCGGGACTGGTGAGTGTCAGAACCACAGTCCAGGATGAGACAGCGAACATCCACTCAGTGTGCTCAGTGAATACCTCAGGCAGCAGAAACCAGGAAGGACAGGCCCCTGCACGGTATGTACCACCGGCAGATAGAGGAGGTGGCTGATATCCAGAAATCCTACCAGTGGCTGGACAAAGCTGGACTGAAAGACAGCACAGAGGCACTAATCATGGCAGCACAAGAACAAGCTCTGAGTACAAGATCCATAGAGGCTGGGGTCTATCACACCAGGCAAGACCCCAGGTGCAGGCTGTGTAAAGATGCCCCAGAGACAATCCAGCACATAACAGCAGGGTGCAAGATGCTAGCAGGAAAGGCATACATGGAACGCCATAACCAAGTGGCCGGCATAGTGTACAGGAACATCTGTGCCGAGTATAACCTGGAAGTCCCGAGGTCAAAATGGGAGATGCCCCCAAGGGTGGTGGAGAATGACCAAGCTAAGATCCTGTGGGACTTCCAGATACAGACGGACAAAATGGTGGTGGCTAACCAACCGGACATAGTGGTGGTAGACAAACAGAAGAAGACGGCCGTAGTGATCGATGTAGCGAATGACAGCAACATCAGGAAGAAGGAACACGAGAAGCTGGAAAAGTACGAAGGGCTCAGTAAAGAACTCGAGACGATGTGGAGGGTGAAGGTGACGGCGGTCCCAGTGGTAATCGGAGCAATCGGTGCAGTGACCCCCACTAAGATATATGCTCTTATATACATTTATTTTTTCATAAATATATGAATATACGAAAAAATAAATGCTTAAAGTGTTTTTAAGCTGATGGCTGCACATTAGACCTCTGAAATTATAAACTGGATCCATTTAAGCCTTAGAATTACTCTCAACATTACAGTATCTTATACAGTTTCTAAATCAGATACATGGACAAGATAATACGTGCACTGCAATCTGGAGGACCAAAGTCTTGTCCTGTTTACTACTTCCACAGATTTCTCAGATTTCTTGAAGAGAAGGTTCATGGGTGGACATGCAAAAGTGTGACAGAAGAATATGCAAAGGATGGGATGAGGTGGAGACAGATGGTCCACTGTGGCAACCCTTAAATGGAGCAGCCAAAAGAAGAAGAATAAAATGATAAAATCGAGAAACTGCAGTTTTCTGCTGACAAATATAATTCTTATTCTTAACTAATTGATTAGTTATGAGATGTTCCACCAAGTTCTTTCTTTTCCTTTTCTAGATCTTTTATTTCATGTAACATGGTGAGCTGTTTTGTTATTATTGCTTCAAAAAATGTTAGATATATATATTGTATTTCATACTCTTACTCATCACTCGTGATTTACTACGCCCCAGTTCTTATGTTTTATAACAATGATGCAGTCAGCTGTTTTCTGTCTGCCAGCTGACCGTTTCCAGTCCTCAAATATTCCTTTGTGATTCTGCAGACAAGATTGGACACCACAAAAAAACAATGGGCTGTGAAATGTCTGCCTGAGCAACCAGCTTATGTCTTGCTACTGTACCCACATGGTGTATGTTTAAATGAAGCTGTCACTTTATCAGCCCCCCTGCCTTTTGTTATGTTCTGCTTGAGAAAAAGGCATTCAGGGAGAGTTACAGCAGGGCGTTTCTGATTGAAAAATGCAGAAAATATAAAATATAAATATCAGATGTTTTTGATTAAAACACTTTTTTTCACAGCATTATGAGAGATAAATTGGTTTTAATCTTTTTCCAAAACTTCTTTCTGGACGTTTGTTGCTGACATTATTACTGGTTATGATATTTGTCATGGAATTACCAGAGGCTTCTTTTCATTCCCAAAGATGCATTTGAAATTCAGTTCAATTCCATTTTATTTATACAGCACCAAATCACAACAACAGTCACCTCAAGGCGCTTTATATTGTAAGGTAGATCCTACAATAATACATACAGAGAAAACCCCAACAATCATATGACCCCCTATGAGCAAGCACTTTGGCGACAGTGGGAAGGAAAAACTCCCTTTTAACAGGAAGAAACCTCCAGCAGAACCAGGCTCAGGGAGGGGCGGGGCCATCTGCTGTGATTGGTTGGGGTGAGAGAAGGAAGACCGGATAAAGACATGCTGTGGAAGAGAGACAGAGGTTAATAACAGATATGATTCAATGCAGAGAGGTCTGTTAACACATAGTGAGTGAAGAAGAAACACCCAGTGCATCATGGGAATCCCCCAGCAGCCTATTGCAGCATAACTAAGGGAGGATTCAGGGTCACCTGGTCCAGCCCTAACTATATGCTTTACTATATGCTATAATGATGCTGCCTAAGGGAAGCATGTATAGTGTAAACAGAACTGGTCCTAGCACTGAACCCTGTGGAACTCCATAATTAACCTCAGTGTGTGAAGAGGACTCTCCATTTACATGCACAAACTGGAGTCTATTAGATAGATATGATACAAACCACTGCAGCGCAGTACCTGTAATACCTACAGCATGCTCTAATCGCTCTAATAGGATATTATGGTCGACAGTATCGAACGCTGCACTGAGGTCTAGCAGGACAAGCACAGAGATGAGTCCACTGTCAGAGGCCATAAGAAGATCATTTGTAACCTTCACTAAAGCTGTTTCTGTGCTGAGCTCTGAAACCTGACTGAAACTCTTCAAATAAACCTCTGCAGATGATCTGTTAGCTGTTTGACAACTACTCTAAATTAATACCAATGGTACTGAAAGTAGGTGTAGATAATGTTACATCTAATTTTATGACTCAAGTCACATTTTATAAATCACAAGTTCAGTTCTGACACAAAGTTTTGCTTTCTCTTTTCATTGTATTTCTTCTGCCCAGACATTGATGAATGCCAGGAGAATAACGGAGGCTGTGACCACTTCTGCCGAAACACTGTGGGCTCCTTTGAGTGCAGCTGCCAAAAAGGCCACAAACTTCTCACAGATGAAAGGACATGCCAAGGTCAGTCGCTCTCAGCTGCTAGTGACACAGTTTGACTTTTGTATATCACCAGCTGTGACAAAGTGCTGTGGCATTAGTGAACACAGTGAAGCATGGAAGGAAAATCACTGCAAAATAATTTATAGTATTATTCTGGATATATCATTTCCTGTTCTTTTTGTAAATAAAATTATTATGTTACTATTAGTATATTAGCAGCAGTGGCTTATGCATTTGTTTACCAGTCTGATCCTGTGAGAAGAAAAAAGTCTGGAAGGGCATCTGGCGTAAAATCAAACCTTTGTGAATAAGGCAACAACTGAAAGTAGCTTCTGATGCTTCTTCTTCTGTTGTTTTATTATAAATGTCAGGCTAAAAAGTCTGTTGCTTATGCATTAACTGAAATGAGAGCAATGATATTGTGCAGCACTGTATATAACGATCATAAAGTCACTTTGACCTCTCGTCAAGTGCAAAGATACAGTGTACTGGAACTACCTCCACTTCCTATAGTTGTGCTAAGTGTGCTAAGTTAACATGCTACTGAACCTTTTGGCCTTTTGTTAGCTCATCTGAACCTGTGGAAAGTTAAATACAAATACTTCCATAAAATCTAAATGTTTCTCAGAATGTAATGAATGTGCTTGTTGCAACAGTGTAGCTGCTTCGTCAGCTGGGCGTCTAGTCAACAGGCCTCCTTAGTGCTCATGCTTATATGACCAAAGGCAGATTCCTGGTTACAAGTCACAGCAAGTGAGGCAGGAGGCAGGCAGACACAAAATGATTTTTTTATTAACAATTAAACCTTGAGGTACTTCTGCCCTCAGCCTCAAATTCCCAGGATGGAAAAACTGTGTACGTGGAGTGTTGGAGTAACTCTGCATTGCTTTTGGAGTGTTTAATAGCGTGGTGTTGAGTCCCGTCAGCCACATCACAGCACCACGCTCTACTTCTGACACACCTATGCCACTGTTTCGTGGCTCCGAATAGCTCCCCCGTCTAGCATGTTCAGCCTCAACATAACCTTAAAATGAAATATACTGTTTCATTCATAAACATCTTCTGTGCTTCTGAGTAATTCCAGAGAAAATAGCTTCTGGTTATGCACTACATGCCAACTGTAGAGCATTTTCCAGACCTAGCTGAGAAACTTAAGCAGAAAGATTAGTTGTTTGCCACGGCTGCATCATTAGTTTCCACGAATGATTCCCTCCATTCTTACTGTTTATAAAGACGGGATATTGCCAGCACTTAAATAAACATCTAAAATAGCTATCAAAACACCTCATCATCACCAAGGGTGTATCTCACTGAAAAAACGATCACGCTCCAGACATCAGCGCTGCTTCATTCTGTACTAAATCACTATATGCAGCTCCTGTGTTCCCAGCTCGGTTTATTTAAACTCTAAACAGACGAGCTATTCCTACGTCCTGACATGGACGTTTGCCTGGAGTATTTACCGAGCCAACGTCCAGCCCTTAAAAACTTCCTCCATTATAACATGTTGTATTTTTAGCCTCTTTAAAGCCCCACAGAACAGCCTGAAATAAACCAGGTGAGCCTAAAAAGCTGCCCTCCATTCCTGCTAGGTTAATAATATTTGGCGCAGGAGAAGTACACAAAAACACATACGCAGGCAGGCATGCGCACTCGTGCACACATATTCACACTGATGCAACAGTGAATGTGCCTCAGCCTCATTCCCGGGAAGTTTTTCCAGCTTTATTAGAATAAGTCTTGTCCTAGTTTAGTGTGGGACGCTTGAATCTGTTTACTCTAACGTGCACATTAATGAGATGGCCTCTTCAGTACTTGGTGAGCACCCTGAAATGAGTCTTTACCATCAGATTGTTGATAATCTACTCATTCCACTGACCTTTACTTCTATGCAGCAGGAGAGCCTTTGTATTCTCTTAGATCTATTTGACTGAACCTGTCCAGAGATGCACCAGCAGACTTTTGTGAAACGTTTGAAGTGGAAATATTTAATACCCTGAAATATTTGTCATCAGAATACAAATTTGTTTTGGATTTGAACGATTGCAGTCGTTCTTCTCCTTAATTGACTGAACATTTGTCACTATCCTTTGTGAATCTCATGTTCTAGTAGCCCCGTGACAGGAAACAAAATGAATATTGTCTAATATTGACGAGAGGGAGGGGTAGATATGACCGGGAACCCAAAGACACCAGGCACACTTGCATAGTAGCACCTTGTCAAACCCAAACCCTATAATACACCCTGACTTACCCTAATCGGACCATAATGTACAAAGTAAACATTGTATAAACTGTATTTAACAACACAGACCGCCAACTCATTAGAAAAGCTTAGGTCAGTATGAAAGCAGCCGACAGAACGATGCTTTTAGTCTTTACCCTTTGAATGAATATCCAAAATAAAGGACACCATGCTACAAATTTAGGGTCATTTAAGGGCACATCATTTTTTATGAGAAGTGTGTATGAAGGCATATTATAGTGACCAATCATGGGACTAACAGTATTATCTAGAAGGGAGTCGACACAAGAGACAGACTTAAATTAAAAAGAACTGATTAAACATAAACTAACAAAAACAAACACAAAGGCCAACATAGACTGATGTAAAGGGGGAGGATGAGAGAGCAATGCCCGACAGCTGATGGACCTGGTAAGACCCTCCCATGTATGCCAGAGGGGTGGATGCAGGGGCGACCGTGACCGTGGCTCGCCCCTGGGGGTTGGGAAGCGTATCTGTAACCGGAAGGTCGCCGGTTCGATCCCCGGGCTCTCTGTCCTGGTCGTTGTGTCCTTGGGCAAGACACTTTACCCTACCGCCTACTGGTGTTGGCCAGAGGGGCCGATGGCGCGATATGGCAGCCTGGCTTCTGTCAGTCTGCCCCAGGGCAGCTGTGGCTACAACCGTAGCTGCCTCCACCAGTGTGTGAATGTGAGAGTGAATGAATAGTGGCATTGTAAAGCGCTTTGGGTGCCTTGAAAAGCGCTATATAAATCCATTATTATTATTATTATTCAAAGAACGCATGCCCAGATAAATGGGAAAATGAGTGAATGAAGACATTCTGTATTATTACACTGTAGTATTACTTTGACTCATTTCCTCCTCACCTGTTGTGTCTTTTCGGTCTTTCTCAGACATTGATGAGTGCTCCTTTGAGAGAACCTGTGATCACACATGCATCAACTACCCTGGCAGCTTTGAGTGCTTGTGCAACAAAGGATACATCCTGTACGGTCTGACTCACTGTGGAGGTGAGTGTCAGCTCAGATTTATTTCCCAGAGAAAGAGAAGAACACATGAAACACAACAAGATGATGAAACTGACTTTTTAACACAGTTTTTATCTAGTCTTAGACAATCGATATGATCTGTTCGTTTGTGTATAGGTGCGAAGAAAAGGAAACATAGAGACAGCAGGTAGAGTTGGAGGTGGCACAGTTGACGGAGCTGGAGTGACCACAATGGACAAGACTGGAAATGAGGATATCAGAGGGAAAACTAGGCCAGGCTGAGATGGTGTAGATATATTGGGCAAAGGGTGTTTAATATAGAGCTGGGAGGCACAGATGCATGGGTGCAGTGAAGGAGGATATGTTAGGGATGATCTGCTGTGGCGACCCCTAAAGGGAGCAGCTGAGAGAAGAAGAAAAAGTTGTGAGTTCCTCAAACAGCAACAAGAGAACAAGAGCTATGAATGAAGTCCATTTGTGAGTTAGACAAATCACAAAATTACAGAAATCCCCCAACATCAAAACAATGACAGCAGAAGTGAGTAGCATTAATAATCTGTAACAGGGCCATTTGCCAAGATGTGCAGTGAGCTCTTCAGTATGATGTGTTTGCTTGTTGTGATGGTCAAAGATGACAGGCTCTATGGGGTGATCTCAGTGTGCAGTGCTTAGTACTTCCTTTGACCAGTACTAATGCTCGTCAAAGGAAGTACAGCTGGTAAAGTACTGGCAGGGCCATGGGTGCAGAGGCTCCCTAATGCGTGACACAATAGCTCTAATCTGACAGAAGGCTAAAAACACAATGCTGTGTGTGCTAGAAAGGCATCAAGACACACAGGAAATCCAGCCTGCTGTGTAAGGGCTGTGTTTTATATACTGAAGGTCATGGTGATGCATGTACTCTGCTGGTATCACCTGTAAAGGGCATGAACTGAATCACACAGCAATGGAAAAAGGTCATTTAATTTTTGAAAAGGTAGCAATATATAATCTGTCCAAGGAGCCTGGATAGAAGAGGTTCTTGAAGACGTTTCACCTCTCATCCAAGAAGCTTCTGACAACTAAAGACACAGGAAACATAAGCACAGAAGTAAGCTAATAACATTCAAGTGAAAGCAGGAAAAAATAGTGACAACACTGAAGCGCTTTGGTGTTCTGAAGGCAGATGTTTTCACCTTTAGCAGCTTTAGATATCACATGTACCTAAGAGGCAGTTACGCATGTACAGAGAGGCTACATTCTCTACAGTTTGAGGCAATGAAAAGACTTGTAAAATGGACAAAGAGTCCTTGAGAAATGTAAAACTTAGTCAAGATTTCGGGTTGATATGTGATTTGGAAAGGAGAACTTTGTAAGTAAATTGTACTCTGTGGGCGGAGTTTAGTGTCTTCTAGGGCCGTTAATCCTAGGTGCTGGTACATGGCTGGTCTCTAAGGCTACGTTCACACTGCAGGTGAAAGCGCATCAAATACGATTTTTTTGACCCTATGCAACCATCTATCTGATCATGGTGTGACAGTGTGAACGGCACAAATCCAATATTTTCAAATCCGACCTGGGTCACTTTCGTATGTGGTGCTGAATCCGATACATCTCCGATGTTTTAGAAAGCGGCTGCTGTTTGATGGTCATGTCGCATTAAATCCGTCTTTTACGTCACTGACACAAGACAGACGCCAATTATCAGCTCCGGAGAAGACATGGTGAACGCTTCCTGGACATCCAGTGAAACTCTTGGGAAGACAACGTGAACATTTTATTTGTTCTGTATAATCTGCAGATTCTGACAGAAATCTGCAGCTATCCTTTGAAGCAGCGCTCCTCTAAAACAGCAATAAGGATCATTATTAGGTTATCTACATTATTATGTAAATAACAAAATAACTTCAAGCAAAAATTGGGAAAGGTAAAGTCCAAAGTCTTTATATTAAGGGCCATCAGTCAAACAAAACTGTTTGGTCTGGGTCTAAACAGACGTCTGTGTGTGACGTCTTCTTTTGTGCATGCGCCGCTTTGAGCGTTCACACTAGAGCGCGTTTGCTGTTGCATTTTATTGGTAGTGTGAACGAGCAGACAAAAACATCGTATTTGATCAAAAAATCGGAATTGAGCATCAAGACCTGCAGAGTGAACGCAGCCTAACTCATTTCTCTCTCCTTTCATTTCCACTGCATGATGTCCAATAATACCATCCACCCATCCATCCATTGGCTTCCGCTTATCCTTTTTAGGGTCGCGGGGGGCGCTGGAGCCTATCCCAGCTGTCATAGGGCGAGAGGCGGGTACACCCTGGACAGGTCGCCAGCAGGGCCTGTCCAATAATACCCTCAAATATAAATAATAAGAAGGAGAGATTTAAAAAACCCAAAGAACACAGAATGAAACTCCAGGATGAAGTCCATGTATAACTGCTGCTAAATTAACCTGAAACAATAGACAGAGTCTAAAATGACCTTTAAGCCGTATTCATCTGCAACCTTTCCTTAAAGAGCACTAAGAGTGTTGCATAACTCAATCCATCAATTTTCCTAAGTGTTTATCCAGTTAAGAGTTGTGCTGGGAGTGAGGGGGTGTGGGTGGGGCGCTTGCCTGGAGCCCATCCCAGCTATTATAGGGTGGGAGGTGGGATACACCCTGTACAAATCGCCTCTCCTTCGCGGTGCATAAAATCCATTAGACGTGAAAGCTGAAAAGTGAAATGCCAACGCACGTGCTGTAATCCTGTCTTTGTCTTAGATATCGATGAGTGCAGCATCAACAACGGCAGCTGTGAGTACGGCTGCATAAACACCCAGGGCAGCTACGAGTGCGTGTGTCCACCCGGACAGAAACTCCACTGGAACAAGAAAGATTGCATCGGTAAGCACCAGCCCACACACACCTGTGTGTACATTTGTGAATGTGCGAGGCACGGTGGACAGATCACACAACAGAAGTGATATGACTCTGTACTCCTCAGAGGGAGTGAAATGTCTGCCCAATGGGAAGCCAGCACCTCGAGCCCAGCTAACCTGCATCAAGAGCGGAGGAGCTGAGGTCTGCTCACTGTCCTGCCCCTCCAATGCCCTCTTCCTCGCAGGTGTGCACAAACACACTCATGTTGGCGTCTCATGGCAGAACAGTGTTTCCTATTAATCATATATTTTTCTATTTTTGTCAGTGAACTTTTGGGGCCGTGATGTTCAGATTCGTACCAGGACGTGTTCTATATGTAGGAGCTTGGTCTTTTGGGTTTTCCTTTTCATCTGTCGACCACAAATGTTTAATGCTGACACAACTTATATTCATGCCTTCATTTTTTTTTTCAGTCCATTAAATGGTTGTTTGGTGCAAATAAATCTGTAATTGGAATCTGGAATCTGTAAATCTGTAAAGAAACTGATTGAAAAAATGAAGAAAACCCAAAGCAAACCTGCACTGAATATGTATTAAAAACAGGAAGGATCACAAACAAGTTTGCAGAAAGTCAGACAGGAAGGAGAGAGCAATTGTTAACCTGCTGTCAGCTTCATTTGTAGCTTCAAAATGATTAATTGTTAATCTAATCTATAACTAATCCTAAAAACTAAAGATTAATTAACAGTAATTCAATAGAGTTTTATTTATATAGCACAACAGTAAAATCTCTACATTAACATGTTGATTGCCATCGATGGTTTTTTATTCTGTCTCTGTAGCTGTATGTTGGAAACAGTCCTTTGTGCTGCTCTGGTGCAGCATGTGTTGCTGCCCTCTGGTGGTCTGTCTGTGCCATTCCCCTCTTGATGAAGCTTGCGCTCTTTAGTGCCATATTTGTGGATTCTTCAGGGGCCTCTGTGCTCAGACTGATGTGTTTTTCACTCTGAGAGGTTTTGTTGGCTTCACCCATCCTTCCTCTTTGCTGGCACCCCAGCCTCTCCTCCTGCAATAGTACTTAACACACATCTGTAAATCGATTGCATTCTTTGATCATGCCAATTTTTCCACAGCATGGCTGTCCCTTCGTTTTACTTGGCAGCTATTGTGTGAGAATGATGGATCGCTCTCAGGCATGAAGTGAAATATTTGTTTTTGTGTGTTTTATGAGTACATCTTAATTTAAGGAGGAATGAGCCATGTAAATTCCTGTGGCTGAAAGGAGCCCGGGCTCTTTTTTAATCCCTCACTTCCCCGTCCAAATGCATCTTTGTCTCTACGTGTATTAACAGAGAAAAGCATGGCTCATAGATCTTTCATCTGGGTCTTCATTTCACAATCAAAGGTCACATTTTTGTTTACCACTAAACATCTACGAAACTTGTTTTAATAATGCTGACAACTGTGCCTTTGGCCATCCTATGAAACATACAACGGGAGTCCGAACCTGTTCTCATCATCAGGTTTTGGTTTTCTTTGGTCTCTTAATCCTGTTCTGCGTTGTTGTTTCTCACAGACTCAGAGAACAGCTACACACTGAGCTGCGGAGTGCCCGTGCAGCCTGGTAAACCTCCTCAGAAGAGGAACGTCACCACGGCTTTACCCGCCTGTGCCGGTACAGTAAACATAATGGGACACAGTAGGTGCAGATCAGTGATGGGATTCTATGCTCCCTGCACATGTACTGACTCTACAAAATATTATTTTGGATTTGCTTCGTCTCCACTTGAGAAATTGTTTTTACACAAATTACTCATTAAATTCTGGTAGCATTTATTATTTTAGCACTTATCTTAATTGCAGGTAGTTAGGAGGCAGTAGCTGGTACATTTGTACTGAAAATACAACATCCATCCATAAATAAGCATAATTTACAACTACATGCAAGATTACTAACTGGCCTGAGACCACATTTCTGTTATGTTTTTGTCTCTTCATTGACCTTCCTGTTGAATTTGGAATTTAGCTTAAAATCTTGAATGATCAGGTCCTGTCATATCTCAGTGTATTATACTAACAGAGGAGTTTACTCTGCAGGTTTACTGGTGACTAAAGTTTCCAAAAGTAGAGCGGGAGGCAGAGAGTAACAAAATGAAATAACAGAATATGTTATGAGTTACCAAATATAACGAAATAGCTCTAATTAAATGCTGCAGTAAACTGCTGGGGGCTTCCCATGATGCACTGAGCAAGTTCTTCTTCACTTGCCTCTTTTTCACTCTGAGTTTGTTCACACACTTAACCAGACCACAAACAAGCAACTGAGATTATACACACAACAAATGTGCAACAAATAGCAAATGAGCAGTTATGTGATGGCTGTAGCATCCTATAAATGATCAAATAAAGAGTTAATTTGTAAAGTGATCTTGAGTTAACAGCTTATGTTGTTCTGTATGAGTAGACACGTTGGCACCACCCATCAAGCAGAAGGCCAGGTTTAAGATCAAAGATGCCAAGTGTCACCTGAAGCCCCGCAACAAGGAGAAACACCGAGATGTATCCAAGCAGAACATCCAAGGTAATGAACTGTCATATTTAAACAGCAGCATCTGGCACTGATATTATACTGGCGTTTATAGCCCACTCTAAATTTGATCTTCTTCACTGTTGTTTGGTTGGCTGAAAGGAGGCCAGTTCCCCTGCACCGATGACTGCCAGGTAACGTTTGTCAACCTCAAGTGTGACTCATCTAAGAAGCGCCGGCGAGGACGCAAATCTCCTTCAAAGGAGGTTTCACACATTACCGCTGAGTTTGAGATGGAGATGAAGGAGGAAGATGCCTCAGGTGTGGTGATCCTTCTTAACTCTGCTTTAAATATAATCGACACAAAAACATTAAATCTACAGAGAAATCAAATATTTATGATCGAAATTTATACCCGGACATTAAAAATGGACAAATGTGGTCTGAATGTTGTTTCCTCAGAGTCGTGTAACGTGGACTGTGTGCGGGAGAGAATGAAGCAGAGGCTGCAGAGTGCCATGAGGACACTCAGAAAGTCCATCACCAAACAGCAGTTCTACATCCAGTTCTCTGGGACCGAATATGAAGTGGCCCAGAAGCCACCTAAGGCGGCAGAGGGTGCTGAGACCTGCAGCACAGGACAAGTCCTCAGAGATGGAAAGTGTGGTATGTTTGCAGCTGAAAGAGTTGACTGGGTGTTACTGTTTCATCAGGATCTATCGATCTAACTTGTGTATTTCTTCTCAGTGAGCTGTGGTGTGGGGACATTTTATAGTGGGGAGCAAGAGCAGTGTGTCCAGTGTCCCCCTGGTACATACCAGGACACGGTGGGACAACTTTCCTGTGAGCCATGTCCCAGTACTGAAGGACAGGGAATCGCTGGTGCCAAGAATGTGTCCCAGTGTGGAGGTAATTCCCTATCCCATTTTTTCCTCACTAATACTGAGATTGTTTCCATTTAAAATGTCAGAAAATCTGGATATTAATATTAATGTTGTAGAAAGAAGAAATGAAAACCAAAAAGAAAGTTTCTCCTCTATCATCCCCTCAGGTCAGTGTCCAGTCGGTCACTTTTCTGATGATGGGTTCCGCCCATGCCAGCCCTGCGCACTGGGCTTCTACCAGCCAGAACCAGGCCGTGTCCTGTGCTTCCCCTGTGGAGGAGGCCTCATGACCAAGTATGAAGGATCTGTGTCCTTCAGGGACTGTGAGGCCAGAGGTGTGTCTTTTGTTCTTTTTGTGGTTTATTTTGAAGATACTTGTCGGAATTGCTTTTATAGTGCAAGTTCAGTTCAAATAATACACAACAATAAACAACACAATTAAAATAGAAGTGCCAGAGGCGACCAGTAAGGACGGAGTTCCCTGACAGTGTGCCAGAAACATTTGATCAACGTCTTGTTTCACGACTTTACCAAACTTCTTTGTGCTTCAGCCACTGTCCTAAACCCTGCGGCCAGCTGCCGCTGGTTTGATGGCTGTCTTATTGTTAGATGTGTGGAGAGATTGTTGGTTGTTGTCATGTATTCAGGTCAGTCCACACTGAGATAAGTAAAGTGTATTTAGAAATTTAGCATGTTCATCCACTGATGATCGTAGAGCAGCGGTCTCCAACCTTTTTTGCGCCACGGACCGGTTTATGCCCGACAATATTTTCACGGCCCGGCCTTTAAGGTGTCGCGGATAAATACAACAAAATAAAACCAGTACCGGTACCGAAAAAAATAAGATTTATTCATAACACACGTGAAAAGACCAGAGTTAACGATCAAAATGATAACAAAATAACGCTGGAAACCGATAAAAAACCCTGAAAACCATAAATTTCACACCTGAGCCTCAACTCTCGCGGCCCGGTACCAAACGACTCACGGACCGGGACCGGGACCGGTCCGAGGCCCGGGGGTTGGGGACCGCTGCTCTAGAGGATGAAAACCACTATTTTTGTTTGTTTGTTTCCTTTTAATAAGACTTATGCTGAACTTCTTGTGTTTAAGACAAAATATCTGGAAAATTTCACGACACTAGCAAATGAGAATATTAATGATGCGTTTAGCTGATTCACACTGATTACTGTGGCTCGTTCTCTTAATGTTTGGTTACGTTTGATCGAATCTGTGGTAAACACTATCATAAAGGAGCGCATTGTCTGAATGACACAATGCTGCCACTTTAATGGGTTAATAAAGCCACATAACTAAGGGGCCATAAAGTAGTGCTCAGATGTGTTGAGATGGAACTTGGTGCAAACTGATTTTGTTTAGTGAGTGTGCGGTTCAGTGTTTTCTTTGTGTGTCTGCTCTTTAATAGAGTTGTACTGTGTGCACACTTACCCCTTACCTTTCCTCAGTGCACTGTGCTCCCGGGCATTACTACAACTCCAGTACCCACCGCTGCATCCGGTGCCCAGCAGGCACCTACCAGTCAGAATCCAGCCAGAACTACTGCATCACCTGCCCGGGCAACACCACCACCGACTTCGATGGTGCTACCAACGTCTCCCAGTGCAAAAGTAAAGCTGCCCACTATTACCCATCGTGGTTGATAATGAGAAGTATATCACAATATTGTTGGCATTGGTTGAAATACTCCAAAGGGTTTCTACAATTTTGTCCTTAGACCAGGTGTGCGGAGGGGAGCTGGGAGAGTACACAGGCTACATTGAGTCTCCTAACTACCCTGGAGATTACCCATCCAACGTGGACTGTGTGTGGATGATAAATCCACCACACAAGAGACGCATCCTCATTGTGGTGCCAGAGATTTTCCTCCCCATTGAGGATGAATGTGGAGACGTGCTGGTCATGAGGAAGAGCGGTAAACAGAAATATGAATGTAGAGAACTGATGAACTCGTTGATTTGAATGCTTACCTGTGAACAGCGACTTTAATGATGCTGCCATGACATGCACATGTGTCCAGTGGCACAGTATGTCATGCTGTCACACCTGAACTGTTTATCATTCATTTCAGACTGGACCGATTTAAAGATCAGCTTTTTTTCTAGAGCTTTAGGTCATTCCACATGCTCCAAGAAAAACAAGCTCTAGAAGATTCTAACTGTGCTGTGTGCTGTGCCTTCAGCCCATCCCACCTCCATCACCACTTACGAGACGTGTCAGACCTACGAGCGACCCATCGCCTTCACCTCCCGCTCCCGTAAGCTCTGGATCCAGTTCAAGTCCAACGAGGGGAACAGCGGCAAAGGCTTCCAAGTTCCATACGTCACCTACGATGGTGAGTCAGCTTCATGGCAGTTCAGCGACAGCCAACCTTAAACAATCTTACAGCTTTTTATTTCACTGCGATGCGTATTTTCACCCACTGATTTAACCCTGTTATGCTGCAGAGGACTACCAGCAGCTGATAGAAGACATCGTGCGGGATGGCAGGCTATACGCCTCTGAGAATCACCAGGAGATTCTCAAGGTATGCATGTAATGTGATCATATTACCAGCTGATCTTTGTTCCAAGGTCACACTAACATATAAGGTAAAAAAAAATCATCACCTCATAAGATGGGTCCAGTATGCTGACAGTCTTTGTATCTTTATTCTCCCCACAGGACAAGAAGCTGATAAAAGCCCTATTTGATGTGCTGGCTCACCCCCAGAACTATTTCAAGTACACAGCAGCAGAGTCCAAAGAGATGTTCCCTCGTTCTTTCATCAAGCTGCTGCGCTCCAAAGTCTCCAGGTTCCTACGACCATACAAATAGACAGGCCCGTCTGCGGTCCTGGTCAACAACCCTGACATCCTGCATCATTCCAAATCCAGCAAACTAAATGTAACCCAAACCCCCATCCCACTTCTGCCCTGCCTCTGTCTATTCATCCATGTATATTTGAGCTTTCTAACTCGTAAGACATCACTAACAATGGAGCTTTCTGTACAAGGTTTGACCGATAGAGGTTTTTGAAGGCCAGTATTTATATTTTTATACTGTATATTGTATTGATATATTCTTTCTTAAATTTGGAGATTTTGCACTGAACTGTTAATTACCACAGGCATGCTATCTGAGTAAGGGTTTATCTGGCAGTAACAATGAATACATATTTTTCAGCAGAAACAGTACAGTAACTATGGTAATTTACTAATTTAGTAAAATCATCTGGCAAATATTTCCTTTCTCTGAATGTTTTATAGAATGTATATAAAGTGCAGCGAAACAGCAGTGTCCCAACCTGTAGGTAATGGTACATCCCACATGTCAGTTTGTTTCATCTGCAGGAGACCCCCATGCCCACCGCCAAAAAACTGAAATATTACTTACAACATGACCTTTTCCATCTTTGTACTGTTTTATAGTCTAGCTGATCAGGCGTGAAAAGACCTGTAACTGTACGTCTCTCTTAAGAGTTAGACTAAAGCCCGAATGCAGAACCCCGTGAAGGTGCAAGGGTGTTATTCCCTGTCAGACTACTTCAAATACAAAATCCTGCAAGGTTATGAGAACATAACCAACACAGGCAAACATGTTGCCTACTGCAGCTTTAACAAAACCTCATCTTCTCATCCAACTCAAAAACAAAGCAAATTTATCAACATGTTGTTTAAAACATGCACATTAAAAAACTCTAAAGTCATCTAAAAGTCTGAATCCGCATGCTATTACACAGCAGCACTTAACAAAAGGCCAGCATCAGCTACCCAATGTATCGGTCAAACTCTGTTTCTTCTTTTCTCACAGTCATTTCCCTTTGTTTGCACATTCTCTAACAACTGTATTCTACAGTCTTCCTATTTGCTTTCTGTGTTGTTATGTCCTTTTTTAATATTTATACTGAACATTTTGGAACTTGCAGAGGGGCGCGCAGATGTTTTAAAAATGATCTGCGAACAAGCGTGTGGACATACACAGGTGCCCACGCAGAGCACAGCCTGAACTGGATTTCTTTATTGGCCCTGTCGTGCACAAGACAGAGATGAGAAAACAATCAGTGCACTTAAATCAGAAATGTTAAAGTGGTGACATCTAAATCCTTCCACTCCAGTGATGCTTTATCCACTGGGGAAAGATTAAATTGGGCAAATTGCAAAATCTACATTGTAATTTTGAGATGAGATAAAACTACCTGCAAGTAACAGATTGTTACGTTATAGAGAAATGTACCTGGTGTAACTAGTATTTGGAACTTTCATTGCACTTGAATTTTATATTTTAAACTGTAGGGGAAAGGATCTAAGTTACATGTTTTGTTACCTTTTTGTGTTATGTGCCTGGTGTGGTGGTGATAAGAAAAAGAAGCAGCTGTGTCTCCTGTTATTGCTTCCACTCTGTAGCTTACAGTTACCCTCAAATTTGTCTGAATAACACACACACACACACACACACACACACACACACACACACACACACACACACACACAC